GCTTATGGGAGTTTGGAGAAGCGTAGACTAAGATTTAGTGACAACGTGAGGCTGAGATCTGGCATCAACAAACTTGCTTTGCTAAGCGTTTCATTGGGTCTGCCTGTAAGTTCCCTCATCCTCTAATGGTAACATGATCCTTTTGTTTTTGTTTTTTTTTGTTGAAAGCTTTGGAGATGGAAATTGACAAGTTTGCTTCTTTTTTTCTTGTGGTTTGACAAAAATCAGAATATTGGTCTTCATTTTGAGACATGGAATGTTGGAGTTCTAGGCCCGGTCACATTGCAAGGTCTGAATTCGGGGACACGGGACTTGTCACAACGGAAATGGACCTACAAGGTTGGTCTGAAAGGTGAAGCATTAAGCCTCCATACTGTCAATGGGAGTTCTTCTGTGGAATGGGTACAGAAACCATATCTGGCTAAAAAACCACCCCTTACATGGTACAAGGTTAGTATACTTTCACTAGCTACCATTTATAATCTCATTGTTGTGTGTATGTCCATCGTTCTTCTTTCATCCAAGACAAAGATGTTCATTTATGCTGTGATATTTTCAGGCTACTTTTGATGCGCCATCCGGTAATGATCCATTAGCTTTAGATATGGTAAGCATGGGAAAAGGTCAAATATGGATAAATGGACGGAGCATTGGACGCCATTGGCCTGCATATACAGCACATGGTGCTTGTCACTATTGTTATTATGCCGGAACTTACAATGAAAACAAATGCCTAACCAAATGCGGAGAGCCCTCTCAGAGATGGTGAGCAAAAGTTCATCTTCATCTTCTTCATTTTTATACTTCTATACTTTGTCAAATACAAAAATCATTGCAGAGCTAATGAGCTTATGTATTATTCTCAGGTACCATGTTCCAAGGGGATGGTTGAATCCGAGTGGGAATCTGTTGGTTGCCTTTGAAGAATGGGGTGGTGAGCCAACAAAGATTGCTTTGGCGCAAAGAGCAACATCATGTGTTTGTGCTGATATATTTGAAGGGCAGCCAACACTGCAAAGCTCTCAGAAGCTAGCTTCTGCCAAACTCATAAAAGCAAAAGCCCACTTAAGGTGTCAACCTGGCCAGATCATTTCTGATATTAAATTTGCTAGCTATGGGTGGCCGCAAGGGACATGTGGAAGCTTCAAGGAAGGGAGTTGCCATGCCCACAAATCGTATGATTTTCCTAGAAGGATATGCATTGGAAAACAATTTTGCACAATACCTGTTGCTCCAGCATATTTTGGTGGAGATCCTTGTCCCGGAAGTGCAAAGAAGTTCTCAGTTGAGGCTGTGTGCAGCTAAGATTCACCACGTGTATATTATTACTAAATATATGTGAAGTTCAAAAAAAAATAATTTCTTCACTTTGAGTTATATAACCAATGCCACAACTTTTTGATTCAATGATATGATACAACATTTACAATTAATAATTACCAACCCTTTTGGTCCTTTTTTCTTTTTTGACACAAAAGGTATTGGAAGAGACGAAATTCGAACACATAATCTCGGTGTCAACCTTTTTTGTCGTCTACAAAACCAAAATGAGAAAAAGAATTTCTCCGAGCACCCAATTAGGCGCCAATGACTTGTCTATCCCAGACCAGTTTCACCATCTGAGATGGCCCAAGGCCCAATCTGATCTCAAATTAGGGAACTTTAAGCCAAGAATCTCATGTAGTCCAGTTCCTCTTCCCCTTTTGCCCGCAACAGCAAACCCTACTGAAAACTCACATTACGAAGCCATTTCCACCAAGCTCCAATTGAAATTGGAGAACTCTAATTCCAATCGATTTATTCAATGGCCAATTTACTGATCAACAGAACCTTAAAATCAATCGGAAACTCCAAACTAATCACAGCGCTCTCTTCTCGATCTCGCCACTTCAGCTCCATCGCCGCCGTCGAGCAGCCCCAATCCGACGGTCCATCGTCGTCCTTTAGCTTCTCGTCCGATGGCCAAGAAAACAAGAACAATAGAAACAATCAAGATGACAGCATACACATTAAGCCGTCGAGTTCGAGTTCCAAGCACGAAACGGCGTCGTCGTCGGTGACGATGCCAATGTCATTCATGACGGGGTCAATTGTGGGAAAGAGGTTTTACAACCAAGTGACGACGAGGAAGGCTGATGATGGGAATGGATGGACTGTAATGCTTGATTATCGGACACTCAAAACGCCTTCCAAAAGGCCCCTCAAGCTTCCTACTTTAGCTCTAGCTAAGGCCATTGCTGCTGAGTGGGAATACCAGGTGTGCTGCCTTTATGCCCTATTTTCAACTTTTAGAAGCTTATTAGCTCAAATAAGTTTCACCCAAGCTTGGAAATTGTTTACTTGAATTGGGCCTTCAAGTTTAGTAGTAACTTAGCTCACATGGGTTTCTCTAAATTGATTTTTTTTTCTTCCCCTTGATTGTGTTTCTGTATTCCTATCTAATTTGGATATTTTGCATTAGTAATAGCTCAGTTCAAATTGGTTTTTTGAAAGTTGAAAGTTACACAAATGGGTTCCTTTCAAAATTGAACTTCTGCCCTTTATTCCTGGAGCTCTGTTCTCTAGTTTACATTAAGCTTTTTTGTGCAAGCTACTCGAACTAATGCTAGTAAAAAAGAAAAAACTTCGAGGTTGTGTGTTTTTCTTGACTTGTGTTAAGATGTTTGGTGGTTGTCTTATGAAACTTTAATTATTTTTAGCAAACAGATGGGATTAGGCCCTTCACGATGCCTCTCATGAGACTGGCTTGTACTGCACTGGAAAGAGTTCCTCTCACACGGCCAAAAGTTATAGATTATTTGATGCAGAAATTTAATCAAGATTTAGTCTTCTGTCGCGCACCAGACGACAATGATCTCACAAGCGTTGTCCATGGTATGTTGTTTCTGCATTTGTCTGATTATTTCAGTTTTGAGTTATTTCACAAGCGTCGTCATGTGTGTGCCTTTTATTTATTCTATTTGAGGAATACTGACGTATCATTATGCACAATAAGTATCATTTCTTCTACATTCCTGCACACAAAGCAAGAAGAAGTGTAGTTCGTTCATTCTTGCTCTCTGAGTCTTATATACGATATTGAATTGTCAGTAAGGAAGGCTTTGATGGTTGGCATTATGTAAAGCCCAAGGAACCTTTTGTGGCATTGCTTTGCCTATTCCTTTACAGTTCCAAGCTCCAAAATTGGTGTTTTTTCCTTTAAATTAATATGAATTTCAACAACGTATATTTATTGCTAATTCATAGTGCCTCAAATTTTTTGTAGAACGGCAAGTGGAGAAAATTGATCCTTTACTTGATTGGGTGAAGTCAGAATTTGGCTTCAAGCCTGTTGTGTACTCCAGCTTTTTTGGTGGGAAGCAGGAGGATGGTCTTACAAAGGCTATAGAAACCGTGCTAAAGCAAACAGATGACTGTGAATTAGCAGCAATTGATGCCATTGCATCATCAGCACACTCTCTGATAATTGCTATTGGAATTCATCGGGGGAAGTTACAGACTGAAGAAGCAATTGAGTTGATTAGGCTTGAAGAAGATTTACAGGTTCTTATTGATATACTGAACTACATGCAAACAAATATTCAAATACATACTCTCCTTCGACAACAAAATTTTGTCTGGAGATAATGGATTATGGATCACTCGCTTAACAAGCTCTTGCAAAGTTTTAAAAGCCTTCTCTTATTTTTGCAGGTGGACAGGTGGGGTTTGGTTGAAGGCGGTCATGATGTAGATTTAGCTGATCTCAAGGTTCAGATCGCATCAGCTGCTGTATTCTTAGGTCTTTCAAGAAGGATTTAATCTCCATACATATTTTTTCCATTATCTTGCTTTTTAAAATCTTCGTAAGAGCTAGGTCTTACGTGGTTTTTCTTAGAATGTTCACGCTGTTATAGAGATGTAGAACCCTTCCTTGTGCTGCTCAAAATTTTGTGAGCTTGTGTTGTGATCGATGAGGTGAGGTTAAATTAATGTTATAATAATTGGCATTGGAATGTAAGTGGCAATAAAGTTTTTCACTCTTGTACAATAGGGAGTGGTACAGCTAGTTTCTTCTATGGCCTGCCCTTTCCCACAAACCCCTCCAAACTCGTTTTTGTTGATTTCATGGAAGTAGAATACCTTGAAAATACAGTAAATTGTTTATTTTTAATGCCTCAAAAACTGTGGGAAAGAAATGCAAACGAATGCCAGGATATGGAATTATAATTCATTTACGTTGGTATGGGAAAAACTGAAAATGATATACAAGCAGCTGAAAGTTGAAATTTGGAAACGTTCACTTAAAAATTGCAGCAGGGGAAGTGGTATTTGTTATGAGAGGAAGACGATACTTGAGTTGCCAATGGCGTCATGATGGCTCTGCAAGATAACTTCTACCTGCGGGATGGGTTTACTTTGAAATCCTAGATCTCACGATTTCATTAAGTCAAGGGTCTTCTCTACAACATAGCACGCATAATGGAGGCTGTTTGCTGATATCGCAATTGCAACAGGCTGTGTCGCAGTCATTGTTGCATCCTGCAGAAAAATGATGCTAAATAAAAATTACTTGAGCATGTAAATCCCATGATGCATATATCCATCAGTTATGTAACAGATTGCATACGCCTCTCTGTTTCTCTCGTGACGCTCAAGTCTGTTTCATTACGACATGGAGAGGGTGTACGCAACTCCTGGCCGGTAAGTTTCTCTCCCAAGTTGGAGACAGAATCCAGTTCAAGTGAAAATGAAAACCCAAATGGACCAGATGAGGGAGTTTGATTAGATTACCTGTTATAGTAACATATTCATATGGCTCGAGGTCTTGAGAGTTGATGAGAAAAGGAAGGCGAGTGCTTGCTTGAACAAGCTCGGTCCTCACTTGTATAACGATCATAAAAACCAAATAGCCAGCCAGCAGCAGCAACTTCATCATTACGTCGGTTATGATATATGGGAAGATATACGACTGATATAAAGATTAGCTTCCCAGTAGGTGAAGTTTTCTCACTAGCAACTGTGTCTATTTATAGGCTTCTTAGCTGTTGAAGTTTAGGAGAGAAGAAAACCTAACCCCTTTTGAGATATGAGTCACACTATGAAAATCTCTACTATACAAACATAAATGTATGGATCATCCTATAAATGTGTGAGTGAATACAATGATTTAATCTCTGATGGATATCTATTCTAAGGGCTACAGAACAATCACAACTTCTTTGAACCGTACGAAAATTATAAAAGAAATGGCTATGACTTATTTTTCCATTTCTGGTTCCTTATTAGGTAAGAAGAAAAATAAAAAGTTGATATAATGAAAGTTGCAGGTATCATGAAGAAACTTCATGTGATGCAACAGCTGAACTTCATATGGTGTTTTCTGATATGCCAGAGTAGCAGCATTTCAGATTTTTGGATCAACGAAAAGCTTCTACACGCAGAAGCAGAAGGCGATAATCAGTCTCACAGCTGAAACCTATATATGGGACTAAGTTCTATAAATACTTATTTATAAACAAAAGCAACAGCCTTCCTTCCCAATTTATAAAAGGGATGTAAAAGATACAATCAGTTCACAAATTATTTGATCAAACCACATAATTGATGGAACCTAAAAAAATTCCCAGAAAAACTGGTCAAATGCACACACTATGATGCTTGTTAAACTCAAGACACTCAAGCACCAACTCCTAACTGGAGCTGCTTGATATGTGTGATCTGCTTTCCAGGGTTCAAACCCTTTGGGCAGGCACGAGCGCAGTTCAATATGGTATGGCAGCGATAGAGCTTGAACTCATCATTTATCGCATCCAGTCGCTCCTTTGTATATTCGTCACGACTATCACTTATCCACCTGCATAACACCACAAGAATGATTCAGGATCTAGTGTTTACCTTTACCAATGATAATGTAGAACTAGAAACAAATGCTATATGCAGAGGAGAAATCCCAACTCTATGGCAAGATTCAGATTTTGGGATAGGTAGTCAAGGAACAAACATTGTTTGATAGGCATCTTATCCAAACAACATGAGATTAAGCACTGCAGTGTAAAAGCTAATAAGCCAAAATATGATACGGATTAAGCAATTGTCTCATAGTATTATTTCTCTTTTACTACTTTATATAGCAATTTTCTCATCAAATTAAAGCCTTTTGGAGATGGCACCGCGCACCCTCATCATCGCCTTCGAGAACAATCTCATTAAGCACTATAACCTAGGTCGTGAGCTCACAGACACTGCAGCTTCGAGTTAGTTTCTATCAACCTAGCTCCTCAAAACTCTTTAAAAAGATAAGAGAATAAGAACTAAAAGCAACTTATTCAATCACTACTCTCAGTGCATAACTAATCAGGTAAATGCTAAAGAGAGCACAACTGAAACGACTGTTATAGAATCTCAGTCATTCATCATTCAACACGCAAGACAGAACACTGACATTTGATAGCAGCAGCGCAAAACATGGCATGAAAATCACATTGAAAAAGAAACACTTCATTTTTCAAGAAAAAGTACTATTTTCTGTTTTCTTTTTTAGTACAATCACAATAAAACTTCCCAATGAAAAAGATAGACAACTTTTTGTACCCAAACAACAAATTTACCATCAATCTTTCACATTACACATATACAAACATTAACCTAATCTAGCAAGTCATCCTTGAAGAAAGATATCAAGCAACATCAGACTACAACAAATATGAAAAAAGGCAAAACTTTCATAATCACAGAAAGCAAAAAGGATACTTCCTACATCGAACATGGTGCAGTGATATAAATCAAAGAGATGATCATGCAAATATATCAATCACCAATCAATATCCCTAAAAAAATTGGGGATTGAGAGAGAGAAATGAATTACCGATTGGCGTGGAGCAAGGCGGCGGGGCCCAAATAAGACTCCGGGTTCCACCAGTAGCTGGGGCAGGATGTGCTACAGCAGGCACACAATATGCACTCGTACATCCCATCCAGCTTAGCCCTATCCTTCTTGCTCTGGCGAATCTCTTTCCCGGGCTCAGTAGGCGGGCTCTTCCTCTTCAGCCACGGCTCTATGCTCTTGTACTGATTGTAGAAGTTGGTCATGTCCACCACCAGGTCCTTTATCACAAACATGTGCGGCAACGGCGTTATCGTCGTCGCTCCGACGGAAGACGACGGCGCTATCTTCGTCAAGCAAGCGAGCCCGTTACAGCCGTCGATGTTCATGGCGCAGGAGCCGCAGATCCCTTCGCGGCAAGATCGACGGAAGGTGAGGGTGGGGTCCATCTCGTTCTTGATTTTAATGAGGGCGTCGAGCACCATGGGCCCACACTCCTTGAGGTCGATCTCGTACTCACGGAGCTCCGGCTTCTTCGGGTTTTCTGGGTTCCACCGGTAGATTGAGAACGTTTTCAAGCTCGTCTTGTCTTGGGCCTTGAGGTCCACTTGCTGGGCCTGGACCTCCGACGCCATGCCCCGCACCACCACATACCGAAACGACGCCGCTGTCGATCTCGATGCAGATGAAACACCTGCAGCTATAGCCCTCCGTATCAACCCCGCCATTGTTGCCTTTCTGGACTCTCTAACCTTCCAGTGTACTTCCGCAGGAATACAGAGACAGAGAAATGGGGAGAGAGAGAAAGAGGGAGAGGGGAGGGGCTTTGGGTCTCAGACTCTCAGGGGTATGAGAAAATGACGGAAATGCCAAAATGGGTTATAAAGCGGGAAGGCTTAGAACAGTTGAGGGTACGTTCGTAAATTTAAATGGAGGGATTAGTTCAATTCCGTGTAGTGATTGGCTGTGTATTCCGTCTTTCTGTGGTGACATGTCCGATCAGGAGCCGTTTGTTTTAGGAGTTAGCGTGGTTTGCTTATGCAGCAGTCGTTTGATTTTAATATCTGCTTTCTGATTTTCTAGGCGCGTGTTCACCATGGAACCACAATTGGATGATTGCCACGTGGCAACTTTGATGGGCTACTCTAAGCCCCAAATGCTTGTTACGTGGGCCATTCTTTACGCCGAACCTTGAGGATACAAATCCATTTGATGACTGGTACTGCCCGATTCAATTTATAGTTTTTTTTTTTTCGTACAAGAGATATTGGTGGTTGTGAACTCGTATTTAGGACTTTGGTATAAAGGTAAATACTCTTAATTATTTGAGGTACATATTATGACATTTTGTTTTTTGGAATAAACTTTTAAGTCAATAATATGTTGAATTATTGTCCAATATAATACATCCAACAATAATCGAATTTAATTTACATAGACCAAAACACGCCGAGCCACCAAACAAATTTGATATGGTGTGCATTATGGTAACGTGGATAAGTTTGTTTGAAGAGGGGGTGGGAGGTGGCTAAACATAGTTAGGAAGCGATAATTGGAATTATTAGAAGCGTCATTGAGATTATTGTTAAGAATTTGTGACAAAGCAAAGGAGGGACAGTTGGGGTACAACAACTACGTGATAACTACTAACTAACTGCTTGGGGTGACGATTTATGCCAGCCATTTGCATGGGTGTAGGCTTTAGGCTTCCTTAATACCCTCACGCCTCAGTTTTCTTCTCTGGTCATTCAATCTTTGTTTCTTATCTTCTTCCTCTGAATCCTACCATTTCGCTGCTGCGTATTGCCTGCGAATGGCATCGGTATGTTCTTTTTTCTTAATTTACAGAATCCATAATCTTATGTATCTGCATTGAATATAGCATTGTACATATATAATTCGGATTCTAATTGTTGTTGTTATCTCTGGCCATCTTGCTCTTTTCTTTGTGATGCTTTTACGCCGAAAAATAGATTGATTGAAACCATTTGTTTCGAAGTTGATTGCGTAGGGTGGTTTAGATATAATTGATTCTTGTATCGTTATTTCAGCTGCAACAAAAAAATGTGTCATTGTTGAATTGAAGTTTATGTCATATAGTAACTTTTGTCAATGGTTTTGGACTGGTTAAAATGAAGAGGGTATCAGATTGAGATTGAGGTTAAAAATGAATGAATGGATGTGCAGCAGGATATTGGACGACCGTTGCCCAAATTTGGAGAGTGGGATGTGAATAACCCTGCATCAGCTGAAGGTTTTACTGTGATATTTACCAAAGCTAGAGACCAGAAGATGTCCAATGGGGCTCCTGGGACTGGAACACCTTCATCTAAACCAGAACCCAACTCTCAATATCCCCCAGAGGTAACAACATTCATTCATTTCAACCAAATTACCCTCACTTTGATCCATTCATTCTATTCGTTCTTCGCGTAACTCTCGGGAATTATACTTACATCGATTAATTTGACTGCAGAAAAAGTGGTTTTGCTGCATGTGAAGCTCTCCTGGCTTTGGTGGAGTGAGAATCTGAGATGTAGTAATTGGAGCATTGTGGCATATCATCACAAATTATTAATCCATCCATGCGTGCACTGCTACTTAGTCTGATGGCAAAGGACCAAGGAATTTGTGGTTTCTTTCCTTCCCTCTCTGTCTCTTTCTGTGATTGTTCCTTGTTAAACCCCCTTAATTCAATGTCCCCATATTTTTGTATAGTATAAAACATTATCTCAATTTTAGGAAAACTAAAAAATTTCAACATGACAACATGTTTTCACCATTTTTTGTATGTATATATGTATTTTGAAAGATTTGAATGATATATATGAGTTCAAGGCGTAGAGTTTCTTTCTAGCAAAGATGGCCAATTTGGATTTTACTAGCATGGCAAGATCCATCGATCGCTGTTCGTACTTTTTGTTTTTACACTTAAATTTCCTCTGCTTGAATCTAAGATGCAAAACCATCAAATTTCTGTCATGAAATAGAAGCGAGCGATCAATGCAGAACAAGAAGAAGATTAATGTACGAACCAAATTAACTAGAGCTTAAACATCGTTTGTTGGTACCTGCTACTACATAAACAAAGAATCTAGAAACTAACTAGAATATCTAAACACGGCAACAATACGACCAAATCGAATTAAACATCAACAGTCAACATCCTAATTAACATTACACAAACGAATGAAACATGTCAACTAGAAGAGAAGACAAGCAACATAGGACACAACAAACTGAACGAAGACTGAGAAAACCGCAGCACGAGAGCCAGAAGATCTGCGGTCGCTGGAAGGAGATTCCTCCAAGGACATCACCTTAACGATCATGCGCTGTCCTCTCTGGCAGTGCCCAGAAGCTCCACTGATGAAATAGAAAGAGCCGGCGTGGTCAAACAGGTAAACTGTGTTTCCAGTATTGGAGAAGAAGTTGGGGCGAGTTGAATTGCATTTCTTGAACTCTTCCTCTGTCACCTCCATAACAGAGTCCTTCTTGTACTTAAAACCTGCACCAAACCACATACTTGTAAAACTATGAAACAGAAAAATAGCATGAAAATGGCATGTGTTTATTCGTCTACGTACGGATGGTGTCGCCTACTAGGAACCGGTTTCCGGAGGCCCAGTCGTTGTAGATTTTGCTGTCATTAGTAGGAGGCACAACCCAATCTTTGGTTCCACCTACTTGGAACTCAAAGGCAGAGACTGAGAAATGGCCAAAACAGATGAAAATGGTCAACAAAAACAGGGTTGCTCTGACACAGTTCATGTTGCAGTTAGCCATATTGGGCAGCTTTTTCAACACAGAAGCTTTCGGTAGTCTCAAGGAGACGATGAATATCAGAGTGCAACAACTAACTGCAGGCGATGTGAGAGAGTTTGAGGTGGAAATGGGGTTAATATAGTAGCTGTGGGAGAGTTAGTTGCTACACTAGCATAGGTAGTGGGAGGTTACGTGACCTGAGAAGCTGGGGCTTGCTTTGACATGGTCAATTACTAATTGGAATTTCTTTTATCTTTTTATCTTTTGGTGAGCTAACTCTTAAGTTTGCACGTTCAGAATTATGGTGGATCATGGGTCGTGACTTGAACAAACTTGAACATGGTGTGAAAATCAAAGGTTCTTAATCCGGATAGCTTACTTCTTTTTTCGGTTACATTGGGAGAAAAGAAACCTGAGATTTCGGTCCTGGGTGCCCAGCAGAGAGAGAGGGGGGTGGGGGGGAGGACAACCACTGTGGACCCTGCTTCAAGTTCTGTATTTGTTGAGTTTAGTGATTCGGGAGCATTTACTGTGTTGTTGGTTCAGTGTCAGATCCAAAACCAGCAGGTGATAAATGAAATTTTGACGGAGAGAAAATTAAGCTGCATAAGTTTATATATAGAATATAAGAATTGAAATGACAAGCAAAGCACGGATGAGAGCGTTTGTAGAGGTTAGGAGTCAAAGCAATTGTAAGGTATCATATCAGATCCACCAACAACATTCATCTCTTTGCAATTGCAATCATATTTGTATACAGTACATTGAAAAATACATACAGTATATCGAAAAATACATTCTTCTAGGTTAACTACCCTTTGCAGAATGAACAAAAATAATCTCTAAAAAAACCCAATAAGAAGAAGAAAAAAAAGAGAGAAAACAAAGGCTACTTTTAACATATTTCATTATGTGATTGTCACATCATTTACGACTGTTTGTGATTCTGAATCATACCCATGATTGCTTGTTTTGTTCGTAAAACTAAAAGATTTCTGGCTGAACAATCGGGCAAGGGCACTCTTTGATCTTGGAATTGTTTTTGGTCCATCGGTTGGTTTGGTGCTACCATCATTCTGGGCAAGATCATCAGATATGGCATTCACAAGATTCTCAAATCGACGCCTAAAAGTTGGGTACCTTGAGATAGACTTAGTGATACCTTGGAGCCTACAGGACATGAGAAATAGGATAAATCACAAAATAGAGAACCAGAGAAAAGAGGGAAAGGGGAAAAAAAAAAATTGGAAGATCTTGTAATATAAGCAAAATTGCATGACTACCTTCGAGCAAATGCATCAAGTTCAGCCTGTTTACGCTCAGATTCAGGTGGTGAGACAATGTTTGAGTTTTTCGACCTCAAAGGATCACCATTCAACAGAACTAACATGCAAAGGTAGGCCTCTTCTGCTTCAGATAGGTTTTCTGCTTTTATCTGGTCCTTGATGATCAACAAGGGATTGAAAAACCAATCAAAGAATGTTTCTTTTGGTCTGTTTGAACTAGTCAACTCAGTATTTGTTGAGTTTAGTGATTCGGGAGCATTTACTGTGTTGTTGGTTCAGTGTCAGATCCAAAACCAGCAGGTGATAAATGAAATTTTGACGGAGAGAAAATTAAGCTGCATAAGTTTATATATAGAATATAAGAATTGAAATGACAAGCAAAGCACGGATGAGAGCGTTTGTAGAGGTTAGGAGTCAAAGCAATTGTAAGGTATCATATCAGATCCACCAACAACATTCATCTCTTTGCAATTGCAATCATATTTGTATACAGTACATTGAAAAATACATACAGTATATCGAAAAATACATTCTTCTAGGTTAACTACCCTTTGCAGAATGAACAAAAATAATCTCTAAAAAAACCCAATAAGAAGAAGAAAAAAAAGAGAGAAAACAAAGGCTACTTTTAACATATTTCATTATGTGATTGTCACATCATTTACGACTGTTTGTGATTCTGAATCATACCCATGATTGCTTGTTTTGTTCGTAAAACTAAAAGATTTCTGGCTGAACAATCGGGCAAGGGCACTCTTTGATCTTGGAATTGTTTTTGGTCCATCGGTTGGTTTGGTGCTACCATCATTCTGGGCAAGATCATCAGATATGGCATTCACAAGATTCTCAAATCGACGCCTAAAAGTTGGGTACCTTGAGATAGACTTAGTGATACCTTGGAGCCTACAGGACATGAGAAATAGGATAAATCACAAAATAGAGAACCAGAGAAAAGAGGGAAAGGGGAAAAAAAAAAATTGGAAGATCTTGTAATATAAGCAAAATTGCATGACTACCTTCGAGCAAATGCATCAAGTTCAGCCTGTTTACGCTCAGATTCAGGTGGTGAGACAATGTTTGAGTTTTTCGACCTCAAAGGATCACCATTCAACAGAACTAACATGCAAAGGTAGGCCTCTTCTGCTTCAGATAGGTTTTCTGCTTTTATCTGGTCCTTGATGATCAACAAGGGATTGAAAAACCAATCAAAGAATGTTTCTTTTGGTCTGTTTGAACTAGTCAACTCAGTAACATTGTCACCTACATCAATCAGGTACAAACTTAGTCATCAGTTGTGAGAGTATTAAATGAAACTTTGTAAAACAACAGAAGTTTGGAGAAACCAATCAAAGAGAGTGTTTGTTTGGTCTATTTTTGCTAGTTATCTCAGTATAGAATTCTATAAAACAAAATTACACAAGTTAACTGGTAAGAGTGTTGAGGGGGGAAAAAAATTTGACTTACTTAACAATATGCCCACCGAATTGGCTTTTGCAGATCGCAGAAGTGCTTGAAGAAGACAATAAGCTGGTAAGCCAATGCTTATAACTCTGCTACCTTTACTGGACTTGGCATCTTCAATGTCTTGAAGTGTTATTATTCCTTCAGAAACCATGATTTCCCCGTGATGTTTACACTCCTTAAATAAGCTATCCATTAGCTACACGAGCCATGAAAGTTGTTCATCAGCACCTAAACCATAAACTAAATAGGATGTGTTCTAGGCAGTCAAAATTGTACACTTTAGTCCATGCATCATCCAACACATACAGATAACATGCAAACTTGATTCCAGTACGAAGCAGCCATTAAGGCTAAACATAACACATAACACATGCACCATACCTCAAGGGGCTTCAACTCTAAGATAGGATTAGTGAATGAAACTGAGCGGGAGGGAACACTTCGGAAGGAGCCGGGCCTTGAGAAAGAGGGTCCACGAGAATTTGTTCGGACCAATTTGGCCTTCTTTCGGTAGTTTGGCCTGTCATTACAATAAATCAATTAAATAATGTCAAAGTGCACAAACCCCATATCAAAACCTTAGACTTTAGAGTCTTGACTATAACCTTGGAAAGCAGGATCCTTCTGGCATGTCAAGGATATCGTTGCTGTATTCATCATATATGGACAAGGATGCAATGATATAGCATAGCCCCAACCAAAATGAGGACTCCTGTAACCCAAAGGTCATACAATCTCTTAATACTTACGATCTACATGACAAGGACTTAACCAAAAATATCTGAATATACACAGAGAGATACATGCAAGTAACATCAAACAAGTTCGGTAGAGAAAAATTGAGCACAGAATAACCTGATAAACAACCACTCCAGCAAAAGCACCTAGAAAGATACTGGCCACCATTGATCCCAGCACTGCCCCTACAACAGCCAACGGCCAGAGTAGGATAGCAAGACCAGCAAATGGAACACATATTGTTTCCAAGAAAGGGCCCTCCCGACCTATAAGGTCATGAAACAAACGATGCCACCCCTTGAAGAGCATGTATGGGGATTTGCATAGGGCAATAAATGAGATCACCGGCATATCAACCATGAAACCAAGGACTGATATTATAACAGCCCCAGGAAGATATAGCACCCTGCAAGAAAGTTGGAAAGTTTTCTGGTGAGAAACAAAGAATGATCATGAGATAAACTGCTGGACCACAAAAGCAAACCACATGAAACTGAAATGATAAAGAAACTTATCATGCAGTTCATCCCTAACTTCCTGGATTAACATACCGGATCTCATAATATTTTGCATCTGGAGGACCTTGTTCTCTCAGGTCATCCATAACCGAGAAGTATGTGTGGTAAGAAACATCCCCAAAATCTCTCACAACAGTGAAGCACCCTTGGATGGTGCTCCAAGTTCCATCCTGCAAAATGTTGTGAAAGAAAAATCTCCATAATGGGGCAGAGAAGAGCAAACATAATTTATAACCAACTTGAAAATTGAAGACATACGTAAAAGCAGTGGTACAATTGATTGGTCTTCCCTTCTCCAACAGCTTGAAAAGTTTCCATTACTGGTGAAAGAAAGCCATATGCTGCTCCACCCACAATACTTCCAACAATTCCAACAACTGGCCACGAGATCAATTGGACGGGGAGTACAAATATGCAGACAACAATCTTCAGAGCTGGCCCATATCGTTTAGCTCTGCTCATTTTACAAAACGAATACATAAATAATTAAAAAAGAAGAATCACAAGAACGGTTTATTCTTTTGTTGCTTTAACACAACATGAGAACGAGATTCCCAACCCCTCCTCCCAAAGTAGCCGGAGAGAGAGAGAGAGAGAGAGAGAGAGAGAGAGATTACTAATGAAACAAAGAACAATGAGGCCAAGGGACGTACCTAAACATGCAATAATAAGTCCAGAGAAAGTGTACCGGCCAAAGACCCAATATGATAGCCGAGTTTCCAATTGTCATGATAAGGCAAATTAATGGGCAGAACAGAATACCTGAAATAATACTGTGATGTTAGATTTGACGTGTTTTCCTTAAGTCATACTCCTTCAAGCAATGTGTCTTAACTAATCAATCCACTCCTAGTTACAACGTTAACAACCCATTTCAAGATAGCAAGCAAGCAAAATTCAAAAATGATACTCGAGGCACAGACTTGTTATTGTACATAGTGGATGAAATCTTATCTCTTCAGACATGGTAATAAAGATAGAAATGTTCTGCAAAAGAAAACCAAACCACTGCCAGGCCCGGCATCAGCAGAAAACAATAATTCGGCAAATGGGAAATGAAAGTGTTTTATTGGATCACAGGTTCAACGCCAGATGGAGAGGTTACATTAAGCACAAATAAAATTATGGAATGACAGTATTGTGTCCTAAACTGTTTTGTAAAAACAATAAAATCCTTGTTTCCAAAATATTATCAATTTCCCATCAGAACTTAGAACCTAATATAACCACATAATCAGTTTTGAGTTAACCAGAAATACCAACTAGCACAAGAAAAAAGAAACAAAGGACAAAACTGATATTTACCTTTAAAGTTGCCAAGAAGGAGAAGGCCAATGAAGTAAGGTAGAAAACAGATAAAGTTCCACAAAGAAGCCAACACCCCCTTTGGGGGTTCCATATCTCCCTCCTTACTTCTTAGAACTCAGACTCCTCGCCCAACCAGATCTCCCAAAGTCAATAGAAACAAACCCACCTCATATTCAACTCGAATTCAGCCTGCAAACAGTAAAAATCTCGTTTTTATTGGCATAAAGAACAGAAAACCAGAAACTACACAACGCAGGTACACGACAAGTGAATATGCCGCAAACCCATATCAGAAACTTACTCAAAATCAGTGATTTAGTCTTCTTCTGGCACCAAACGACTAAGACGGACTAAAGGTGGAGGGTCTCTTTCTTCTTCAAGTTTCAATTTTTAAACGTTGGAGTTTTGAATTGGATTGAAAAATTTAATCTTTCTTAAGAAAAAAACATCACACGTTTGTGATTTGCGAAACGATTAGAAGGCAGTTAAAAAACGGTTTTACGTCGCCAAAGAGGTGGAAGGATTGGGAGCGGAAGCGGTTACTATCCAAGAATCAGGAGCCAAAGGATGCTTAAGCCATTTTGTTCTCTGTCTGGTGTTTTCCCTTGGAAGCAAAGCAACTTGGGTTCCCTAGTTTTGCCAACCACAATAAAAAAATTGCACAAGGAACAGAGCTCGCAGTTGGATATTTGCAAAAGTAATTGACAACTTTAAATAAATGAAAAATGGAGACTGAGACACATTGGAATATTTTTTTGGAGATTTTATTGTATTTATTATCTTGACAACCTCTCTCCAGGCTCCACACAGTCACTACAAAGCATGTGATTATTTTGCTTGGAAGTAGCAATAATGTTGTTTTTCCAATTGATCTTAGTTGTCACTTAACAAAACGAGCGTCTGTCAAATATTTCAGTTGCTATAGGTTTCCGTGCTAATTAGACGTTTCTCTTTTAATTTACTTTATTTTTGAGGTCGTTGCCAATCAGGGCAAAATGATCTGGACTTATCTGGACTCTGCTCAGGTGTTCCCAGACTCTGGTAAACTCGGGCTTTGGCTTTCTTGCAAGTTGAGATGAGATGAGGGCAACTTGATGTTGATACAAACTAGTTGCTTGTTGGCGTTCTTTGTTTAAAGCTGCAATTATGCTTCTTTTACTTCTTTTTTGGTAAAGTGAATTACGTATGAATTGAGTCAATAAATCTAGGGACGCATTGTTTGTGCAAATAATCTCACGGGAGAATATTCGCTTCTAGATCATTCAACCTTCGATCTTCCTTCTCTCTCTTTCTCGATTCCTGTAAAACATATTGGAGTAAATAGACCACACCCGGGGG